ATTTTGATATGATGTTGATGTAGACTTTTTGAATAGCATGTTAATTATTGTTTTATAAATAATTTTAACTGGCATACACATTGTTCTTTTTACTTGTATTGCTGTAGTTTTGAAGTGTGAGTATTCGCTGACTTATAACTAATTTTAACTGGCACACAACATTCCTTCGGCTTCGCACCACTACACCGACGTACGCAGACAAACCCAATGGCTACCACAACGTCGTTAAAACTCCAGTAAGACAAGTACGCGACCTCTCCTTCTCCAGTTTCTACTCTCTCCATTTTTTCTCTGATTCCTTCGTCTGATTTAAGTGGTTTGAAATGAGATGTTCGTCTCTTAAGAAGTAATCGCCAAGACGTTTTGTTCGAACTGACATATCCAAGAAATTATTTATTTATTTATTTTTCAGGTATTACAATTTTTTTTATGAAAATTTGGTCCTCAAAATTTATGAAATTCACAAAAGCTATTTGTAATGTAGATTAAACATAGCTATCCATAAATATTTAGGAAAGTTTAATTCTTATTAAGTGTTAACAAAAAATAGATTTGATAAATCCAACATTTGAAGTAATATAATTTAACTGAACAATCACCAAACATCTAAAACATAATAACATTAACTAAACCCAACCTTTGAATCAAAGTACATAAATCCACTCAACACCAGAAAAATAACATGGCACCTCAATGAAAAATCATTCAAAATTTATTAGCTTCAACATCAGTAGCAACATGTTCTTCAGGTTCTCGATGAGTTAGGAAATACACTTTTAGTTGAATGTTCTGCCTTGGTTGCTTCTTATGAGTCACTTTGCCAGATTTCGTAATCCTTTGCCACCACTTATGAAAGTAGATTTCTCTTGAAAATTTTTCTAAGTTGAATCTTTTTCTGAGCTAGCATTTAATGAGGATCTCAGGCAGAATTAGGGCAGTTCCTCGTTTAATGTCTAGGCTGTCTGCATAAGTGCATGCAGAACAAAATGCACAACGCTTGACATCTGCATCATAGAACTTGAAACTTGGTTGGGACAAAATGCTACATGATGGGAGCCATCTTCTGAATCTGCATAAGAAACCCTTAGAGTCTTATTTGCCTTGTGGAGGATTTCAGGCATAGAAAACTGACAAAGATTTCAAGCGTTTAAGTAGGAAAGATTGTGAAACCTTTTATGTAGAATGAAGCTGAACTCTTAAACATCAAGACACTTTTTAGTGTAAAAGTGGAATTTCGATAGAAACTCTAAAGTTAAGTGTGCTTGTGCCGGAGCACTCTAAAATGGGTGAAGTCTTGGGAAGTTGCACCAACGGGGCAGAACCGTGATGCCATTAGGCTAAAGTGGACAATACTTTGATGGGTGAGAGTTCAGGCCGTCACAAGTGTCTTTTGCATTGACAAGTTATTCCTTTGTACGTTTTGGAGAACTATTTCTTTGTTTTCTAAAAGCTTCCCTTTTTGTTAAAAAAATGCTGATAAAAATAAAAGAAAAGAATTAGAATATAATTTGTCTTGTTTCATAATGAATACAAAATACATATTGATAGTCGAAATAATATACATAATTATCAGTCTATGATCAAGGAATAATCTATGTAATTCCAGCACAGGAATTAATTTATTCTTTGTTCATCATGAGTCATATAAGACAGAGAATATCAATGGATTGCTGAGTTGGATTTCCATCATGTCATCAATTAAATTGGAGCACTCAGATTGCTGAGTAGTAGTAGTTGAGGAGGTGTGGCCGTGGCAGGGCTTTCTTTCAGAATTTCCACAGATGACTCTTATGATAGCAAAATTATGGCTCTGTTTATCCATCGTTGTGAAAAATGAAATTTATGTTCCAGTGGATGCTTTGGGAAAAATTTTCTTCTGTGGGTGGAATTTGGAAGTTCTTGGTTTGTATAACTGGACTCGCAATAGTTAGAACAGAATTCTTCTATTCTTGAGTTTGATTGTACTTAATAAATAACAACTGACTTGAAATTCAAATAAAATGAAGTAAAATAAAACCTAAAACAAATGACTTGACATTCAAAACCCAACTGGAAATTTCTTGTTACATGTCGTATTGTGCACAATAATTGAATTAAAATAATAATAATAAATCTGCGATGCTGGGTAAATATTGCCAGCGTCCTCCAATAGGTCCGAAGCAAGGATATTCCTTCTCTGGACATTGTCATTCCCATGTTGTGACACGGGGCTTTTCCTCCTTCCTCTTCCCCTCCTTTCCTTTTAACCTCCTTTCATTCTTTTCTTACTTTCCTTTCTAGACCATTTCTAATTTAAAAAGTTTCATAAAATTGAAATTTGATTTTTATTCTCCTTCCTAATTTAAAACCTTTTCTAAAACTGAAATTTGATTGTTGTTCTCCTTTCTAATTTAAAACCTTTCCTAAAAACTGAAATATGATTTTTATTCTTCTTCCTAATTTAAATCCTTTCCTCAAATATGAAATCAGAATTTATTCTCCTTTTTATTTTAGTATTTCCTAAAATAGGCTATGTATTTTTATAAATAGGAGAGGTTGTGCTTCGAGTTAGGGGCTATTTTTATGAAATCTGAATTCAGTTTTGTCTGAGTGTTTTCCCCCCTGAGGGTTGTATCCGACGTCAAGTCAGTGCTCCGACTGTCCATTGTCCAAAGTGATGATCGTCTCCAAGGGTCTGAGCGGTGTCCGGTTGTAGCTTAACCCCGAGGAGGCATTAATCTTATCATACATCCTTTTTCCTGTTGCCGTTCTATCATTTCAGTCACTGCCGCTCCTTCCCTTCCGCTGCCCATCACCTTCCTGCTCCAGTCCAGCCACCGCAACCCCTTCAACTTGCTTTCCGGCCCTTCCCAGCAGCTCGCCGGAACCCCTACAGCAGCTACCTTGCTGTCTCGGCGTTTTCCATTGCTGCCAGTACTTACCCGGTTGTTGCCACCCTCCGAAAGTGCTAGCGAAGCTTCCTAGCTGCTGTCCTATTTCTCCCACAGCAACCCCCAGCTCTCTGGCCTTCACCGCGACTGTTGATCCAACCTCCAACGACATTCCTG